AATGTTCCATATTATCCCATCAAATATATCAAAATAAATCCATGGTTGAGTATTTTATTGAAGGAGAACGTTGGCATTACATGGGGAGCATGGCATTTAGAAAAATGACAGCAAAGCGAAGAGAAAGTTGCGCGCAATAGTGTTTTTGGCACAGTTTAACAAAATGAGTACAACAATGCTTATTTTTCACAAATCGTTTCACTACATCCTCATATCCAGCGTTGTCCATGCCATGCATTTTGGTTGCCCATCAGAATGGTCAAACCCTTTGATGATCATCTGTCGACGATTGACTGCCACCTCTGGTAGAATTGATCTTTAACGTCTTCATTGTAGACGTTGGTAGGTGCACAGCATTGGATGACGTTCATTGTAATGCCCTCTTTCTTTGTTTTGAAGGATGCTTTGGTGATCCTGTATCCATGTTTCGACAGCTTCAGTGCAGCTCCTTGTATGTATGAGGCATTTACTTCTTTCCTGAAGCTAGCCTCAACCGTCTAACATGCGTCCAGTGCGTTTCACTGACTCCAAGCACATCCAGGTTAAACATCTAATTTCTGCAGCAACCTGGCATATTCTTCTGTTCTCCTGGAATGTTCGAACATTCCATTTAACCAAAAGAATGATTGCTCTATGATGGTGTCGCTAAACCCAAGCCTAATCCTTCTCATTTATCCGGGCTTGGAACTGGCAGTAACACCAGGGGGGCTGCACTTACTTACTTACTTTCGCCTGTTACCCCCAATGGAGCATAGGCCGCCCACCAGTTTTCTCCAACCAACTCTGTCCTGGGCTTCACTCTCCAGTTCTGTCCAATGTTTGTTCATTCCTCTCATATCTTTCTCTATTTCTCGGCGTAGTGTGTTCCTTGGCCTTCCTCTTTTCCTTTTGCCTTGAGGGTTCCATGTGAGGGCTTGTCTAGTGACGCAGTTGGGTGCTTTTCGTAGTGTATGTCCTATCCATTTCCACCGCTTCTTCCTGATTTCCTCCTCCATTGGAATCTGACTTGTTCTCTCCCACAGTTCGTTGTTGCTGATGGTGTCTGGCCAACGAATACGAAGTATTTTGCGTAGACAACTGTTAATAAACACTTGTATCTTCTGGATGATGGCCTTGGTAGTTCTCCATGTTTCCGCTCCATACAGTAGAACTGTCTTGACATTTGTATTGAAGATCCTGATTTTGGTTTTGTTTGAAAGTTGTTTGGAGTTCCAGATATTTTTCAACTGTAGAAATGCAGCCCTTGCTTTGCCAATCCGCGCCCTCACATCTGCGTCCGATCCACCTTTCTCGTCGATGATGCTGCCAAGATATGTGAAGGTGTTAACGTCCTCCAAGGTATCTCCATCAAGCGTGATTCGGTTGGTGCATGTTGTGTTGCATCGGAGAATTTTGCTTTTTCCTTTATGTATGTTGAGACCTACTGCTGCAGAGGCTGCTGCTACACTGATCGTCTTCTCTTGCATTTGTTGTTGAGTGTGCGATAGAAGAGCCAAGTCATCTGCGAAGTCCAGATCGTCCAGCTGCGTCCTAACTGTCCAGTTGATACCGTGCTTCCCTCCAGATGTTGACGTCTTCATAATCCAGTCGATGACCAGGAGAAAGAGAAAGGGTGAGAGTAAGCAACCTTGCCTGACACCGGTCTTCACCTCAAAAGAGTCTGTCAGCTGACCTCCGTGTACGATTTTGCTGTTGAATCCATCATAAGAATTCCGTATGATGTTGACTATTTTCTCAGGCACACCGTAGTGTCGAAGAAGCCTCCACAGTGTTTTCCTATCCACGCTATCGAATGCTTTCTCGTAGTCGATGAAGTTGATGTAGAGTGGTGAGTTCCATTCAATTGATTGTTCCACAATGATCCGTAATGTAGCAATTTGGTCAGTACACGATCGATCCTTACGAAATCCAGCCTGTTGATCTCGAAGTTGGGCGTCTACGAAGTCCTTCATTCTGTTTGACAATACCCTGTTGAAGACTTTGCCTGGTATTGAAAGAAGAGTGATGCCTCTGTAGTTTTCACACTTGCTGAGATCGCCTTTCTTAGGTATTTTGATCAGGTATCCTTCTTTCCAATCTGATGGTACTTGTTCCTCATCCCAAATCTTCTTGAAGAGAATGTGAAATATTTTCGCAGTTGCTTCCACATCTGCTTTCATTGCCTCTGCTGGGATGTTGTCTGGTCCTGCTGCTTTGCCGCTCTTGATTTGTCTGATGGCTATACTGATCTCCTCAATCGTAGGTGCGCCAATATTAATTGGGAGGTCCGTGGATGCTGCTTCGATGTTTGGTGGGTTCAGTGGAGGTGGTCGATTCAATAGTTCCTTAAAGTGCTCCACCCACCTATTTCGCTGTTCGTCAGTGTTGCTGATTATTTTCCCTTCCTTGTTTTTCACTGATCTTTCTGGTTTACGATAGTTCCCGGCGAGCTTCTTTGTTGTTTCGTACAATTGTCTCATGTTTCCTTCTCTTGCAGCCTTTTCCGCCGTCATTGCTAGATCTTCCACATATTTTCGTTTGTCAGCTCTGATGCTCTTCTTCACTTCCCTGTTTGCTTCTGTATACTCGGCTTGCTGCAGGCGGAGTTAAATTAGATAACCCCAACAAATATTATTAAGAACAGGAAGACAAATAACTATTTTCTTTAATACACGCTCGATCAGTAAGTAATAATGGTTAAAGATGATTTATCAGGAACAACAAGTGGACTGTTTGAAAATTTTGATTGAACCACGACTAATCTGACTACCGGAATAGCTATGATGTCATTCGTATTATCATCGACAATATCTCGTTATATTTTAGATTATAACCACTAGAAAGACGGATAAAATATCATAACGCAAAGCTGACAATGAACTTAATTTATTTGTTTCTTGACTCCTAACATCACAAAGGTCAAAAATCCGTATGATAAGCACATGTGAACACAGCTATTTAGAATGTTATATAAGTGGATGAAAAGTTTGCATGAAGTACACTTGGTGTAGGTTGGTCACTAAAGGCAGATAGAAACTTAGCATGACAGTTATAGGAATACATTGCAGTCTATAATCATCCACCTAATTAAGACTGTTAGAAAATCACTGCATGATTTTGACTTTTCGGTAAAAACGACTTGCCAATTATTAGGACCATGGGTTCCAATATAGGGCATTATGGGCTCATTAACCATCAGCTCGCGTGGTCTTAACTTAGGTAAACCTAAGTTCGGCATATGTGCGATAATAAACTACTCTCTAATGAATTTGGGTCAGCAAGAAGGCGGAGCAAAGGTCATGTTTTATTGGTCGTTCAAAGTCAATTTTCATAACCCCTTCTTTACACAATCCTCCAACATTTCCATTTTTAAAATTACCCGGTGTCACTCTTAAAAGTCTCACTTTAAAGTGGGTTAATGTTGTTTTCTACGACTATTTATCAACAGTCAGAAAAGTTTCCAGACCAAACATTTCTGAAGCCTTCCATACTAGCCAATAAACCATAACTTCTATTCAGTTACTCAGATGAATGACTAGACATTTGAAATTGTGGAGATGAAAAAAACGTAAAAATTCTCCGACACCTGAATCTGTGCTTGTTCTTTTCATTTTTAGTAATTATTTTTAGCTACCTCTGACTCCAAGACCAAATAGTCCTTTGATATAACATTTTCGAGTGAGAAACGATCGGAAGATAGTTTCAGAGATGTTTTGTTTCCGGTGTGTACCATACTTCTTGCTATCCTCTTTCATTGGTGAACAGGTTTATTTTGCCTATCAAGGCTCATCCCATCCCTGTCCCAAGTTGTCTTACCATAGTCAATTTTCCGAAAATCCTCTAGTTCCTTTTCTGCTGAATTTGAATAAAAAACTGAAACATAGCTTTGACTTTACACGGTCGGTCTCCTATTCTCACTTCATTTTTTACTTTATCTGTTAATTTCCATTGCTTACCACCATATTTTAACCTAAGCGGCTGGGCCTGGAACTGCTGTACTGTCTCTGTCATACTCAAACGTGTCTGCTACGAAATGATGACATATCTATGAAGCTTCGTGACTTAATAAACTCTTCTCAATTTCACCTTAAACCTACCAGTTAGAATGTATTTGGAAGCATTGATTTTACGTTAATATCCTTGGTGATGAATACTGTCGGTAACTTGAACTGTTACTTTGATCACTCTTTCTAGTTAGGATGAGACTGTTTGCACAAACTGCGTCTACAAGTTCATCACACCACTGGCGAACTTTATCTAAGGAATACCTAGTGGTTTTTTAGACGTAAAACACGTTCTTATGTATGTTCCCGAACAGGCACGTTTCATAATATCATGAAATTTTGAATAGAAACTGAACGGAATACTGTTTTCGGCAGCGTCTCGTTGGCACTGCGGTAAACAGTCCATTACCTTCAAAAATCGCAAATCTTGTTTGTCCCGATCCCCACCAAGTTTTTAACTTTGAGTGGAAGCAATCAAATAAAAATGACTTAGACCTGTGTAATTTTAAATGATAGATGACTAATGAGAACCAAGAATTCAAGACAGTTTCTATAAACATCTGTATATGGTGGCAGGGTCATAGTTCAAGATATATTAAATTGATTGGAATCATTCTTTCAAGGATCAGATATCAATTAGGAGGACTTCAAGAGAAGAATTACAGAAGTCAGAGAAACACCCAGATGAAACTAGGCCAAAAACAAAAATATATCAAACAACAGTTATCTATACTAAATAAACTAGTCACTCATCCTCTGCAGATCAAACTGAGTATGAGGATATAACCGAAAGATTTAACAATCACCAGAACAATGTGGAAAGAGAAGTTCATCCATTGAATGAAAATTCACAACTAGTCAAGCACATAATTCTTCCAAACAGTGCGAAAATAAATTAAAGAACTCTCGAAGTAAGTGTTTATTTGCAGAAACTACTCTTTTTGAAGCAACACTATTTTAGAACATATTTGTTTGAACTAATAATGTTTTTAAAATCTGGCGTAATCCGTTTTGTGATTGGTTGTTGCGATCGGTGCTGACTCATCGCTTGCTTCATAGTACATACTTGTCCTTGTACGCACAAAGCGCTTCCTTTGTGTTTTGAGGCGGTTGGGGATATTTCTGATCTTCGATGACACGTGATTACCAATGCCAGATAACAAATGTGACGAATCGTTTGCTCAGAATAACAGTGATACTGTGACATCCACTCGTCCTTTGCATGTGATTACGCAGTATGCAAGAGCGGATGTTTCTGACATGCATTCACCCGGCAGACCAACCAGTTTGGGACTATGTTTAACAAACGCTCCAAATCTCACAGATCTCAAAAGCTGTTCCTTATCACTTCGCAATGTTGTATCCCAAGAAGTTTGCTATCAGCCCTGGGCGGTCCGAGCTGTAGACACATCGGAATTTGAAAAGCTTTTAGGTCATCTTGGCAACAATGGTTCTACACCAGTCACTCCAACCAGCTTTCTAAACCCAAGCAACATTACAGAGGATCAAGAGTTGTTTGCAGAGTAAGTCATAGTTCAATGTTAGGCCATAAATAGCCATATCTATAGATATTTAGCGATAAAATCTCACTCAGCCTTAACCTATTTAACATTTCATATGCCATTTCCTATGGAGTCACCGATTAAAAAGGAGCATAGGGTTTTCACTGGCTGCTGTGACAGCAATCGTATCTTATTCTGGAAGGGTCGATTTGATTACAGTAGAGCTAACCTATTTTTATTTTCCTGTAAATCCGGAGGTCATTGTTATTGCATATTTTCCTTTGTTTGGTTCAGGTTGTTTTCTCGCGACTGGCTATTCTGTAAAAAGGATGAATCTACTGTGCTGGACTTCGACCTTGCAGATAACGTTTATAAGGTTGTTTGGAAATGAATACTTGTACGTATTACAGAATGCAGATGTTTACACTGTCGCAAGTCATTATAAGGTCATCTTTCTAAGAGATATAAATGATTATTATTACGCTTTACCCTCAGGATTTGAACCTGTTACTACACAAGTTTTGTGGTTCATCTTAGAATACGTCCCAATATATCTCAGTTCTTCCGAAGGGACGAATAGTCCCCGCACTTCAATCGAGGTCAGGTGGATGATGAAAATTAGGATGAACATTTATATAATCGACCTGACTAAAATGGTTATTAGAGTTAGCATATGACATTGAAATCGTAAGGAATCGTGAGATCCGAACTTTTCCTATTAGTGACCCTTACAATTTAGCTCTATTTTAACTACTTAACTTGCATTATCTCACCGATAGACTACAATATACTTATCAGACTTAAAGGATAATCTGTTGCCATCTAGCTAACTTAAGGATCGAACAATATCTTGCTCAAGAATCAGTCTATTCCAGTCATTAACTTTTCTCTGCACACTGATATCTCAAAGAAAATGGATGGTTTCAGAAGATACTCATTAATCCAGTTAACTGTCGAGTCTACAACTTCCTATTTTTTTCCTCTCACTTTTAATAAAGGTTTAGTATAGTATATTCGTTAACTGTATTGATATTATTCTGTAGATTGCATAATTATAAGCTGTCTATTCATTTTACATACAAATGAACCTTAATTTTAGATACTGAATCGCTTCCGTTTTTGTCTCGAATATAGTTAAATATTGTGTAAAATGTATCTATTTTCACTATATTTTGAAAGCTACAGTTTCTCTCGTTAGATTTCTGAACTTTGGTTGCTGCTCTATTTTCACTGTTGATGTGATTCTTTACATATTAAAACTACCATCAAAATTGTCATAAGCTAGCGAAACTAGTTTCATTTCAGCTATCTTCAGTTGTCTGACGATGTGCTTATTTTCAGTTGAAGTTGTATTTAAATCCCGTCAGCTATTATCGCATTTCTGTGGTCTATAAAATTTAAGAGTGCTACAAAAATATCAACGATGGCTAATCTACAATGTATCAAAAAAGTTAAACTGCATTTCCAAATAATCCAGTTTATATAGTTAAAGTAGTCTCATGATTATCAAGAGTATTAGTTACATAATGTTCACTACGTTTTCATTTCGAATAACACTATCCACGTTAGTTCTTGAAAATACTTTCGAAAGTGCGGATGATAAAATCTTTATGCGTCATTACATTTCCACATGACTAATTTTATTACTCATTACATTCCAACGGTATTATCATTTCGGGTATTGAGTATATTGTATGAACTTCGAGGTATTAGTTATTTATGACTAGTAAAAATTAGCCTTACTGGTAGGTTTACCGTGTTAGATAAGGCGAAGTAACCGACAAGTTTGTTCTCAAAATACCCAACCTTCTTAACATCAATCGACCTCAACTCACTGTGATTACTGGTGATAAGATTAATCGATAATACTTCAAGGTACCTAGTGTTGGTCTAATTTATAGAAAGGTTTTTACTTTTGGTTTGTATTAGCTAGTTAGCAGAGTATACGGGATTACTCTCGTTATTCATTCACGATGTGAACTTTTATATACTTGACTTTAAACCACACTGAAGAGAGCACAGTGATACTATCGCGTTACTCCGACGGAAGCAGGTGAACCGTAATTCAAACAGATAACTTGTTGGTTAAATGTATGATGTCTTCACCCATAAAAGTCTGATTAAAAACCGAACACAAGAACATCCTGAGCTACTGGCTTACTTTCGCCGTTTCAGATTTATTTCGTTTGATATAAGTGGCAAATCTAATAATGAATATGCATTCTAAATTAGTTTTTGGAACACAGCTTAATGCTCCAAACTTAAGCTTATTTTCTGCCTTTGATCTGCTTTTTGATGATCTATAGTTTGTTTATCGCGATAAATTTAGGTTGCATTATTTCCAGTCTAAATAATGTCAAATCAACACGTAGCCAAGCCAAGCAATACCAATATTTACGACATACGTTACTACCTTCATCCAGCTAGTATATTAATGTTCAAAATTATTGGTTAATGTATGTTAACTATCCTTTTAGCAATTTTTCTCGGACTTTGAACAAAGTTAAAGCAGAACAAGAGGGCTGGGCAATAATACCAAGTTCATCGTCTTTCGATAGTGTTATTACTGAATCAAGTAATTCTTCCTTTGAAAAACAGATCCAGTCAAACCGAAATGTTTCGATGTCTTTTATGGAGAGTTATACTACCGGTGCTGAAACTTCAAGTACTATAAAGCCAGAAAGCGATCAAATAGATTCATCTGTACACGTTTCAAATCCGACGAAACTAAGTTCACCAAATTTAACTGACGAACCATTGGTATTACTAAGCGATACGTCAAACGAGAACCTTACGGGAGTACAATCCAGTGTCGATTCAATACGAAAGCACATTGGGAGTTCCAAATGTAGTTCGTAAGTTAGAAGTGTTTATCTGTCTCTTTGCTTTGAGTGCTATCCAGCTCTATATAGAATAAGTGAAAACTTGACTTTTGCATCTCAATGAATATTATCTAAGTGAATTTCCAATTCATCTCAGTTCGTTCTTGATCTCTTTCCTTTTCTGCAATAAGTCTTCACATTTCGCTAATCACACTAGATTTTTCTGAAAGAACTATCTCCCCGTTAACCAAAGCTTCTTAGTCAATTAGCCTCTTTCCGTTATTAGGATATTTTAAGATTGAATGCATTACGTCTTATATTGTCATAATTATTGGAAACTTTCCCACACAATCGTAACACTGGATTTACTGGAGTGATATATACCAGCTCACCTAGTCAGTCAGCCATAAATACTTTTCAGTCGCGAAGAAGAACGAACAATGAGAGCCTAATTATCCCTCGATTGGTAGTGATAAACAAGAAATATAAGCAAAATAAAACATTTATTTGTTAATTCGCCTACAAAATTAGTGACCATATCAGCAAGCTCAGACCTCAGTAGATGAAGTAGTAGGACAGTGGTTAAGGTATTCAACTTCCAACCATTAGGTCCTAAGTTTGAACCACTCTCTACCTACTTTCGCCCGGGCGACCGGGTAGTATCGTTAGTTTCCATATTTAAAGTAGCTCATAGTCAGGTAGGTAGGTACCTAGTGAATGAGTATAGAAAGAACTAGCGAATATGCTATTTTTAACTTATTCAAATAACAACAGCTCAAATGTAACATAGATGTCACTTATAACAATATTAAGGTTCTTTCAAGCATCATCAAGTATAGTAGTTCAAAATCACTAAGTTAACCAAGGTGTGCTGAATGCCTGTCTAAAACTAATATAAATTTATATCTGTTCAAAATTTGGTTCAGGTGCATTGACCAAGCCTTCGTTTCCCTGGGATTTCTAAGTACAGGGATATTTTTCTCATCACCCTGTTGATGTACTGCACAACCAAAGTATAGCATGCTCTGTATAAGTGGTTTACTTTGGAGAGACTGCAAGGTAATTTTACAAAATCTGTGCAATTGTATAAGAGTTAAGGTGAGAGATTTCTATTTTACAAGTGATCTTTAGAAATATTTACTCTACTTATTTCTCGTCAACATCGAGTTTTAATAGAGGTAGTAGTGTTTGCTCTTTATTGTTACGGGTTTCTTAACACATGAAGATGAACGACATGATATTTGATCAGCTCTTACATTTTATCTGTGTATGAAATTATTATGCCAAGCACACTTACTGACATTACTACTGCGTATCCTACTGTGCAGTTGGGTTTGTGGTATCTTGGTTAGCAATCAGTTTAAATTTTTGTGAATGTTGGCGTATGTTATCAGTCTATTACGTGAAATAGTCGAACTAAGTTTATTGTTTTTCTAGCGCGATTTCCAAAATAAATCACATGACAACTAAATGTCATACATAAGCCATCATTATCATCTCACTTGATAGCCACAGACACGGAGCTGTAAATTCTAACAGCAATTCCATTTAGTGTTGGAAAACTGTCGCTGTTCATATTATTTCAACCATTCTTTGATATTATCGTCATTAAATAAAGAAAATATTAACAATGTTAAAAAACAGTTGAAGAAAGAAAGATTATGTTCAATCTGTTGGTTAACTCAACTCATTTACTCCGAGAGTGATTTCGATCACGAGGATGTTTTTTTAATTGTCACATGTGTTTTTGTGCATTTATTGAATTTGGCTGCTTTTTGAGAAACCAAAAAAGTAATCAACACTGAAAATTATCGTTTTAATGATTTTTTTGTTATAATCTGTTTGTTATAATGTCACTTAACTGTTCAGATTGGCATTGTAAGTAGCCTATTGTTGTCATTAGAGAAAAGATTTTCAGTTTTGTTTTTGAATAACAGCCTTACTAGGCTTTAAAAAAAGGAAAAGTTATGCATAAAAGTATTTTCTTAAATTGTAATGATCTCTAACAAACTTTGTGTGTTCATTGATTAAATGGTAAACTGTATCTATTTCAACCATTAAATAACATTTTATGCTTGTTTACTAACCAGTGATCAAGTTAAAAGTATGTCAACTATATACACAATAAAGTTACATATGGCTTGATCGGGTTTTACATTAAATTTTAAACCATATTTTGGTTACTAATCGAAACCCTATATTATTATTGTCATCATCATGTTAAACATATCAGGAATGTGTTAGGCGGCAGACATTCAGTCAGTTACAACCTAGAACCTCGTATATCAGTACATAAGTTCAGGTTGCCATATCACATTATCACAGAGACGCAATTGTCAATTCAAATTCCATAGTAGTAGAGGTAGTAGAAGTATTAGCAGTAATCGGAGGAATTAGAGTTCGACGATATTATTCAAGAAGTATAATCTAGTGAAATAAACTTCAAAGCAGAAAGATAAAGGTGATGAAGAATCCAGAGGATTAGGGTTAGAGAGGAGCCAAAGAATGGATACACACAGCATACATTGATGATAATGTTCGTTAAATAATAGCTGCATACACTGGAATGATACTGTTATCTCAGGTGTCTTTGCTACATGAATGCCACAGGGTCCATAGGCAAATATGTCAATTCAATCCTATTTCCTAACGCTATTATACTCTCCTTTTGACTCTCTTACCATCGAAATCCAATAAAGTTTATAAAAGTTTATTAAGTTTTTAACTGAACAAAAGACAACAAACTTAAAGATTATCTAATCTTATTTTAATAAAATACAATTCAGTATCAAAGTAATTTACTGGCTGTGCATTCTTTTCTGAGCCTGTTTAATAAGGTCAAAATGATGCTGAACCATGGAAGTTTATCTGCTCTTTTCACACAATGAAGGATTAATTCCCATGGGTTTATTTCATGATGTAATCCTGCACCATTATCTTGGATATGTCTGTTCAAGTGATTTCAATTCTATACATTACTTTTCAGCTTTATATCCGACAGGAAAAGTCTCAATAACAGCTTATGTATGACATAGTATGTCTGCAGAGAAGACATTTGAATGAGATTGAAACATGTTAGTGTGCTTCATCTCCGTTCATTATCATAGCTTATGTTAGCTTTGTGATTTTATTCTATCTTCTCTGCTCATTTAAATTAACTGTTCAAACAAAATAATTAAATCCCTTCTTTTCTTATCTGTATCCATAAATACATATTATTTTATATGACATTATTGTATAAGTTTTTGCTTTAAGTAGCAATAAACTTCTTCAATATACTCAATTTTTATCAGGTTGAGGGTCGAGTAAACAATATCATCTCCATTCACTATGATCCAGTTTCATAATAGCCTGATATTACAATTGTAGAATAATTATATAAAGTAAACATCTTTGATAAATGATTTATAAATTATTCTTAAATTGTTAAACAAATAACTCTCGAATGAGTTCAATCATTTGAAGTGTAGTTAGTCGAATAATACAATTTATCCAAGAATACCTGTAGTTACAATTTTTGTGTCTAAACAACTAACAACTCAGTTTCAGTGCATAATTTTTTAAAAATATCTCTTTAGCTCAACTTCTGATCCATTCCAAGAAAATTTTTATCCCAATATCTTATCAACTTCTAATTCAAATCCTAATAATATCCATAGAACAAGTGCAGAAATCCCTTGGGTAGCTAGTCTTCCAACTATTTCATCTATTGCTAATGGATTGAAACAAGCTGTTGCAGACCGTGGTTGCAGTTCTAAAGATTTTTGTTCAGAGTTAGATGCACTTTCTTCAGAATCGCGCTTTACAAATTCAGCGTATCCTCACGAAAGTATAGAATCTCATAGATTATCAGAAAATGTTTTAAAATCATCCGAAGATATATTATGTAACAATAATAAAAATGATGGAATTCATAGTAAATTGTCACAAAAATTACCAATCTTGACTCCATGTAATCCGGAGCAACAACCTTCTAATATTCTTGTTCGTTACGCTATTCAAGAGAATCACAATGCTGCACAGATGAATGGTTCATGCAATGAAGATCTTGGTGGCGACTTAGTAGCATCGTCATCTAGTTCAAGATTGTGTGTCAATGATTCATCTGACTTTGGTATAAGAAAGGCTCTCAACGAACTGTACTCTTCTGCCCGACCAACTTTGTCTACCGTCGGGGAGTGTAGAATTTTAACACCTGTCCTATCATCGATTCCTGAATCAACATCAGCTGATAGTAATCCATGTAATGAAAATACACAGAACATTCCTGCTCATATTTATGTTAGCTGTCAGTCGGGTACACCTCGAGATAGTTTGAATCACATTTTAGATAATCATTTGGACGCAACTTCCATTGCTAATCAGTCATCGGGCTCTTCAGGCATTCATAACAGCGATAATATATTAAACAGAAATGATATATGTTTATCGCGTCCGCTGGACTCGGTAAGTTATTTATTACTGAAATGCAATTCACGTTTCGAACTACGCAATAGTAGTTTTGTTAATTTACTGTAGTGGAAGTAACTAGATTTTAAGAGACTTTCTATTCATTCATGTCCGACGTAAATCTACACAGTAGTCTAGTTGTTATGATTGCCATGTATTTGCTGTCAACACCTCGATTTAAATCTATGTTGGTTAACACCCTCATTTTTGAAAATTCGTAGCGCCATGTTTCAAAGTATGATGCTTGGTAGGAAACCTCGTTGAATGAGATATGCACATTGCGGCCACCATGAGACTGCATCTCCTAATGTTGGATTAGACCTTTAGTTCAATGCCCCTTTAAGAAAACCGCCTACTTCTCTCTTAGCAATCGGTCAGTGTCCCAAACACCCACAAATTCAATGATTGTGTGACGTACATGTGTTGAAACCCTTTGTACTATTGTCTATTTGTGAGTAGATCAAGATCTAGATTTCTCGATTGTGATTTCACAGATGTATCTGTAGTATTAATTTCATAAGTCAATTAATTGCTCCTACACTGGGTTTCAACAGACAGTCTCTTTCATGTTATTCAGTTGGACGTAACTGCAAAGAATGACAATACGTAAGTGCTTGTTCTTAGTCTCTGTTTGTGCACTCGCTGAATAAATCCTGAATAAAATAAAAGATCTTTCAAAAAGCTTTCTAAGCTCTAAAAGGGCAGTTGTTCAGGTCTGTTAGCTGTGGAGGGTAGAATAAATCAACCAATAATTTTGGGTGAGCGTTTAGTCATCCTAGTCCAGGAAACTAGATGTTGACATTTATTTGTTTATTTAAACATAATCATCTGTACAATCAGGCACCAATATATACGCACCACAAATTGAATTTGTTTGTGGGCTTGGATACTACCGGGGTGCCTAAATTGAAGTAGGTGATTTTCTTAGAGGGCCACTTCACAAGACTTTGACTTACAGCTCTAATCCGTAAAGTAGTGGAGCAACATTAGGAGATGTGGTCCTATGGTAACCGGTTTATTTCGTTACTTTGTTTTCTTTGTACTTAACTTAACCTAAATCCATATAATCCCAGACATCTTTGACTGACTGAGACATATTTACATTATCAGTTTCCGTAACTTTGGTATTGTGATATTTTTCCCACTTTGTACTTGTATACTATCGTGAATAACTTGATTTTTTTCTAATTTGTTTAGCATACTAATGGAGATTTACGTAATCAGCAATTTGGTGAAATGTATTGTACTCTTGGTAACCAATTTTCTGATAAGTCGTTGTTATTCCAGTCAAACAGTAGATTTACAACAACCAGTCATTTAATCCCGTGCATTAATCCTGTAAGTGATTCCTTTCTGGATGCTCATATGTTGCAAAGTTTGAGGTCACCTGGAATACCAAGTACTGATTTAAAGCAGGTGTCTGTTAATTCTGTGTTCAGTATCGCTCCAGTTCCTTCATTTTTACCTGATGAAAATAATGGTGATCTTAATCAGAGAAATAATTATTTTCAGCAGTTATCAAATTCCAAATCAGATACAATCGATATCACTTCATTTCCTGTAGTGACCAGCTGCTTAAATCCTTTTTCGTCTGAACCATTATCATTAGTCACTCATTCAAATTGTCTCAAAAAGCCTAAACGTCACGGCGCGGGAAATAAAAAGTCACGATCGAATGCATCAAATACCAATTCCGGATTGCCAGTTGTATGCGATAGTAGTACAGACATAATACCAATGCAAGGTATGTTCAATGATGCAAATAAAAGCAGTGTTAAGCGATCACGTAACTTAACCGGACGTGGAAGCTCAGATGTGTCTGGTAAAATCCCTTCTAGTGTTTATAATATTGAGAATTATTCTATTACAAACCAACAAGCATATCATGGAGATTCTAATAAGTGTTTTTCTGGTAAAACTGACTCTTTGGTTATTGATGATGCGGATGATACAAGTGATCATTCAGAATCACTTAGTACAGGAACTGGTCACGCCGTAAGGGATAACACTCCAGTATCGCCTTTAGACGAAATTGAACAGCATCATTTAAAATTGGAGAGGAAACGTGCTCGTAATCGTGTTGCTGCACGTCGTTGTCGTGAGCGTAAAATATCACTTATCAGATCGTTAGAAAATCAAGTAGCTGAGCGTGATGCCCAAGTGAGAAGTTTAGAGGATACATTAGCTCGGTATAGAGCTGAAGGTGAACAATTACGATTACATGTAGAAATGCTGGCTAGTTCATACCCTAGTTTGAAAGCTGAGTTATATCGGTTCCCTTTTCTTTTCCAACCATTATCGTCACATACACAACCACCACCGCCTCAACAACAACAAACTTCTAATCAAACCACTCCATTAAAATCAGAACTTCCGGATACATCGTCAAAGCATTTCACCTGAATGTGTTGAACACTTACATCTAAAAACACCATTGATACATTTGTATTGTTTCTTTAACACAATGTTGTGAAACGATTTCTATTTTTTTTCGCCTTTTTTGTATTGGCATTTTAATCCGCAGGCCATATTTTCCATTTCTGTCATAATGATTTTTATACTTTTCAAGTTTTTTTTTTTTTAAAAAAAAGTATACTCTTTTTAGGGTTCCATTAAGAATAGACCATATAAATACATATATCATGCTTTTCCATAATCCCTTTCTGTCCTATGCTTATCATGTTCTAGTTGTTCTTGGAAAATTATGTGCAGTGTTTAGTGTTTGTTCACAATTGAGTACATCAAACATTTTGATATATTGGTTTTTCATCCATTCTAACGTCCTTAATTTATTTCATCTTACATTCATTTTACTATTTCAAATCCTATCGTCTATAATCATGTAACAATTAGGAATGAACTACTTTACCGGTTATTATGTAATTATGATTATCTTCCAATCAGTTAAGACCACAATCAATATGCTGATGTTGATAAATGAAATCAGCGTCAATTTGTGCGCCTTTTTTTGAAAATTTCGAATTTTTATATTATCATCAGTCTTACTATTATTATGACATCAGACTGGGAAACGTTTTTTCTTACAGATAAAGATAGTTTAACAGGTGTTATTTTCGAAAAATCAGTTTTAATGAAATGACATTTATCCTCTTTTTGCTTTGATGGTTTTCTAAAACTTGACAGTTCTTAATTGTTACCTGTTTATTATGTTGCTTATTATAATTATCAAACAAGGTAAGTTGGCTGCTCATATGTTATCTTTTTTGTTAAAAGTCAGGAGGAAAAAAACATCATTGTTACTTGATGTATAAGTCCAGTTGATCATTTCTTTTATACATAAACACTTTTTCTCTTTATATGTTTTTATGACACATGCACATATTGCCTTTATTGCGTCATTCATTGTAAGCCAAATGCTATATATGTATATGGTAGCCTCTTTTATTTCCTGGAGGTTCCATTCAACCCGGTTCGAAAGAATACACATTTCATATATACTTAAATGCTAACACGAATATAATAGAGAATTATATATCAGTAAGTGTATATGAATGGTTGTTATTCTTTGAGAATTTTGCCTATGCCTTCTTTTTTTTTCTCGTTTTTCTATCATTGCTTCTGTTTGGATATATAGTATTAATGATTAAACTATTTTATACTTGTACTACTATTCACTACATACATATACATTATCATGTTTTCTATGAACTTTCTAATTCTGTAAAAGGTGAACAGTTTCATTCATACTCCTTAGTTTGTAACTTTTCCTATCATACGTAAATATGAGTGTAATGTGCCTTCTATGTTACTGCAAAGAATATAGTACTGTTGAATACGAATAATATTTGGCTGCATCACCGATTTGTTGTGAAATTTGTGATTGTTTTTAAAAGAAATTCTAATTTAGGCATTACAGGATGCCTATAGTTATTATGCATTTATTCTACTAAAAGTATGATTAAGCTTATTTCTTATTTATCTACGTGCAGGTATATAATTTTTTTTAGAATTTTTTTTACTGTAATGCTCACTCTTTCTGCAAAGTTTCCCCTTCCATGCATAGCGCCGTCATATAAATATATATAACTGTATAATGTTTTTAACTACTCCACCATTTTATCATTCTCTTCACCACCGACCGGTCCCAATTGAATAGTAAGATCCAGGCATCATCTCTTTTCCTTTGAAATACTCTTGTTTTGGGCTGAAGAAGAGGACAAAGCGAATACACGATACACTTTTTTTCACCAATAATTCTTGTTCGTTATTGCTGTTTTGGATCATGGAATAAGTAGACATACTTTGCAATAATCGTTTTTTTTCGATATATCATCTGTCTTAAGCGAACTTTCCATATTTATCATTTCATCTGTTTTTACCATTGCTTTTTACTCATATTGATGATGATGACTACTGATTCAGTACCAGGAAGAAAAAAATTATAACGTGTATATCTTTCACGTTTCAGTCAGTTAATTTAAAAAAGACAAACATCACGTGTGTACATATTAAGTTTTAACTCTTCATTTTAATAATACTATTAAAATTACTAGTGGTACTATAATTGTTATTCCTTTTTTCATAAAGTTTTTGTTCAATAAATTTTGATAGTCAAATCTAAATAAAAATTAATTACATTCTTGACTGTTTTAGAGCTTTTAGTGATTGGGTTAGGGTGATTAGCTGGGTGTTTCTGGTTAACCGTTTATCAAGCGCCATAATTAGCTAGATCAAATGCCTACGCCTCTTTACTTCTGATGGATCATAGGCCACGGAGCGGAATTCTCCAACCAACTCTATTTTGAGCCTACCCTCCCACTTCTGCCCAATTATTGTTCATTCTTTTTAGGTCTGTCTCCAATTATCCTCCTAATATGTTGTTTGACCTTGAGAGTTCCAAGTTAGGGCTTGCCTCATGGTGCAATTGGGTGATGCGTCTTATCCACCTCTAGCTCTTCTTCCTAATTTCTTTCTTTGCTGGTATCAGATTTGCTTTCTTTCACAGAAGTTGCTAACCACGGTGTCTGGCCAACAGTTTGAGAGTATCTTGTGTCTATCCTTTGGATAATGGATTTCGTAATTCTTCTCAATACAACAGAAGGGTTTTGACGTTTGTATTGAAAACAGACGTGTTAATTGACTGTTGTTTTGTGTTACAGATGTTTTACAGTTGTGCAAATGCTTCTCGACTCTAAGCTAACATCATGTATCAAATCAAATACCTAATTTATTATTTTACATGGCATCCTTCATTATTTACTAATTTCGCTCTCAAACACTTCAAGTAAGGCTACATACAGCTGACGCATCTGAACTATTAGCATGTATAATTGATGATCAATTAGCGAAGTATCTTTAAAAATGAAAGAAAATTTGGTTAGAATAGGGGTGGGTTATATCTATCCCCAATCAAAGTAGGTAATGCTGCATATGTCTCCACTTCAAATGATACTTGAGAGTCGAGCTACTTTGTTCTCCTTTACAAAATTTGTCACAGTACAACACTCATCTCCACATTGAGGCGTTCTGTTCCAGCTACCTAGATCTCATCAAAACAGTCATGTGAAATCCAGTTTTTATTTCTTTCCTACTCTTTATTGCACAGGAAGTTTATTTTCTTCCAGTACATGTACGTTGTGATGCATTCTTGTCGACTAACTTCCAAGTTGTAAATACTTTTCCTGTCCTCTTAACATAACCAAGTGGATAAAGTTCTCGAAAATAAGGCATACAAAATATTATTTTCCTACAGTAGTTACCTTCAGGTCTGCCTTATCTAAATGGATCTACTCGATTCATATCGTCATATAAGCCACGTGGCTATCGAAATGTATTTCCACTTCTCACGTCCATTATGCTTCGTTCTGACTGAACGCGGTGTATTTTATTGCTTATCATATAATTCCTGAAAGGATTTCAAGTCAGAAGTCTTCAACTTGGTAAGTTGTCACTCAAATTAGTCCTTCACTAACATCGGATATGCACAAACTCAGTGAATAAAGGTGATTCGATAAAAAGCATGTATCGTTTGTATTTCCGCCTGGAGCCCCTCTGCGGCTGCTGCCGGTCCCAAGCCCGGATAAAGGAAGAGGGTGGAGCATGGAGTTGGCTGCCATATCTCGTAGAAATCTAACTAGTTAGGAAATGCCAACCATAACAAAGTACCCTGGCAGTTGAAAGGTCTTCACTTAGAAAAGTTTTGATGCCTCATGATAAAAGCCGAGTTCCTTCGGAAGCCACGAGGTCAATGCCACTTCTCACAACCAGAGAAACCATTCTTTTGGGTGCATCGAATGTTTGAATAGTGTGGGAGACTGGAAGACTTCTAAGTTGCTGCAGAAATGAAAAGATACAACCTGAAGGTGCTTGGAATCAGTGCTCATCAAAGGATTTAACCATTCTGATGGGCGACCTAAATGCCAAGGTTGGCATGGACAACGCTGGATATGAGGACATGGACTGTGAGAAAGGAATGGTAGTGGTGGGAGATTTGTAAACCTATGGGCCTTCAAAAAACTGGTCATCAGCGCCACAATATTCCCACAAAAAGACGTACACAAAACTACGTGGATTTCACCCGATCACACTATTCAAAACCAAATCAACCGTATCTGCATCAGTAAAACGTTCAGAAGGACTATGGAGGACGTGAGAACCAAGAGAGGAGCTGATATAGCCTCAGATCACCACTCGCTAGTCGCCAAAATGAAATTGAAACTGAAGAAGCACTGGACAACGGGGCGGAAGACATCACAAAAAATTTTAGTACGGCCTTTCTTCGGGATACCGTAAAACTCAACGAATTTAGGATAGCCCTCAGCAATAGGTTGCAGGCCTTGCTCGATATACTCAATGGAGAGTAAACAACCGTTGAGTACAACTGGAGAGGGATCAAGGAGGCATCACTTCAGAATGTCAGGAGGTTCTGGATCACAAGAAGTACCACCACGAGGAATTGATCTCTGTCGATACTCTTGATAAAATTGAAGAAAGAAGGAGCAAGATGGCACCAATCAACATCAGCCGAACAAGAGCAGAGAAAGTCAAGGCACGAATTGAATACACAAAAGCAAACAAGCAAATGAAGAGGAGCATCAGAGCGGACAAACGTAGATATGTGGAAGATCTAGCAATGACGGTGCAAAAGGCGAGAGAAACTAGAGACAATTTGTCTGATACAACCAAGAAACTCTCTGGAGACTATCATAAAAGCGAGGAAGATAAAGTCATCAGAAACACTGAAGAGGAGCGAAACGGATAGGTAGAGTACTTTAATGAACTATTGAATCGGCCAGACCCACCCAACATCGAAGCAGCATCTACGGACCTCCCAATCGTTGTTGGCCCACCAACAATTCAAGAGATCAGAATGGCCATCAAACAAATCAAGGGCGGCAAAGCAGCTGTAATAGACAACATTCAGCTGAGGCATGTTGCAACCACCTCAACTGATGAAGTCTCAATACTTCGTCAATTGATTTACTTCCCTACATAGTACTCGTTTCTTAACAGCTGCTTTAACTTCTCCATTCTCCCAGAATACTCGCGCAATGCTTCGAAGACACCTATGATCGAAAACTAATAACCTAAGGAAATCCTCAACTCTGACCGGCCGTGTTTCGCATCCATATAGTAGAACGTAGCAAAATGATGCACATTACACTCGTTCTTTGGTTAACAAACGGATATTTCGTCTACGCCATACATGACGTAAGTTGGTAAAAGCCAATCGAGCGTTCTGTATCCTTGCTGAGATTTCGTCAGTCACCAGGACATCAGCACTGATGAGAATCCCGAGATAAGTAAAGCGGTCAACACGTCAAACTGCTTCCCCCACTATCACTTGTTCCGGTGCCGATGCAAGCCAATCCTGAAACAACATTTTGCATTTCGAGGAGGAGAACCGCATCCCAAACATGCTTGCATTGTTGCTTAGGGCAGTCAGAGGACTTTGCATTTTGTCAGTGCCTTCACCAAATGGGACTATGTCATCAGCATATTCTAAGTCAATAACCAAGTCTCCTGGTAGAAGGTTCACTCCTGAAAAGTCAGACGAATATAATGTTAACTTTAAAAGCAAAGTTGAAAAAGAATGGAGGAGGTGAATATTCCTGACGAATACCACTGGATGTAATCAATTCCGATTACGGTTCGCTAAGGCTAATGCACTTCCTCTGTACCACTGTCAATGACAAGCTGCCACAGAACCTCACGATCGACACAATCAAATGCCGCTTTAAGGTTTAGAAATACTACTGTTGTGGGACGTCTGAACGTGTGTATGTGTTCTAGGACGTGACGTAGTGTAAATATCTAGTCTGTGCAGTCATATCCAGGTCGGAAATCAACCTGGTTTTCCCTAATCTGCTCTTCACGAGCTCTAGTCAGGCGTCTCAGTATTATTGCGGCCAATATTTCAGATACTATATCAGTAAGACTGATTGCTCTCTGATTTTCACAAGAGTAGTTTTGTCCTTTCTTATATATATATACAGTCAGATAGGATTATGCCCAGTTCTTAGATTCTACCTAAGATTTCAGTCAATCTAACTGTTAGAACTGGACCACCATCCCTAAAAATTTCAGGAGTAAACCAGTCAGGGTCTACTGCTCTCGCTCACTTCATATTTCCTATAGCTTTTTCAACTTCATAAAGACTCGGAGGACTTACTTCGATTTGTTGTTTAGGATGGCTAGAGATCGTGGGCAACCGAAGTGTGACTGAAGGCCAGTTGAATTGATCCCTGAAGTGTTCCGCCCATCGACCCGATTTCCTGGGTTGAGAATGAATGATACAGCCATCCTTTTCCGAGATTGTTTCGCCAACAGATGGATTTCTAAGACCGGTTTCCAGGGCGGAACAGATGTCTACTGTTACCTATCATTGCTGCCTTATCCATCACTCTTGCTCTCTCTACCCACCACTGTTCGCGATCATTGCGTAGGCTTTTTATCAGCCTGTGCTTAACCTGACTTTGCTCTTCAGAGCCAGATTGGATGAGTTTTTGAGTATCCATCAGTTCAGTAGATGCTAGTGAAATCCACGGCTTCTTCCTAACCTTACGGTTTGTCTTGCTAGCAGATATCACTGCTTTTTGCACAGCCTTTTGGATATCATTCCAAGCTGCCTTAGTATGAGCATCACTTATTACATGGCTGGCAATCTAACTGTTTTTCTAATTGTTCCTGAAATATATTCTTAGCTTTGTTATCATTAGGTAGAACCTTGAGAAGTTTGTTTGCAGTGTCTTTTCTACGTCTAGTAAGGTCCAAACAAATATGCTATCACACTAGAGCATGGTCTAAATCTAAACTAGTGCTCCAGAATATGCGACAGTCCTCTATTGAACCCCTCCATCGGTGTCTGATGGCGATGTGATCTAGTTGGGTGCAGTTTTGGGACGACTTTGGACGTGGCATGTTTTTCCTTGTGCTTAAAGTTAGTGTTTGCAAGAAATAGGCGGTCATCTGAGCAGTTGCAGCAGAAGGTTGCTATTATCTGTTCTACGTGTCGCAACGCCATAAGATCCACCCAGATGTCTTTCCTTTTCAATTAGTCTACCTACTTGAATAAAGTCATCAGCCATTATTACTGTATCAGAGTGCCTAACGTTTTGGAGGAGGTCCGAAAGCTTCCTGT